AAAAAAAAAGAAATAGTTCCACTTGATTACAAAAATTTTTTCAATAATCTTTAGAACATTTTGGCTTTCAAAAATTGATCGGTATTCTTCTTAAATTTCTTCCGCTACTTAAACAACTTTAGCCTATTGTAAATAATCTTAGACAACTTAGAGACGTCAATAAAAGTATGCCAAGAAAAACAATATTTTTTTATCACCACATTTGCAAAAAGCAAAAAATTAAAGCGATAAAAAGGAAATAAATTGATAATAATTTACATATTACGCATGCTTTTCCGGTACAATTTGTTGAACTGTTACAGTTGCCATTTGTAGTTTCTGAATTATCACACTGATAACAGACAACTGAATACGTTTCTTTATACACAAAGAATAGGATGAACACAGTTAAGATACCAGATGACAACATTTGTTTTCTTATGCTTTGTCTTTCTTCTTGATCCTCCTTTTTCTTTTTCCTTTCTTTTTTTTTTTCTCTAAGAACTTCAAGATATTCTCTGAAAAAAAAAAAAAAAAAAAGAACAGAATAAACAACAGATTAACAACTGTTTTCTGCCTTTTTTCTCTTTTTCGATTAACTATCAATACGCTTAGTTGGCTGTTATGACTCGCACGATATACGTATCAACGTCAGTATAGCACATACATTCACTTACTGTGAAGGACCATAAAACGTTATCAAATACACCTTATTATCCAATGCTTTATGCCGCTCTAAACAAGGAACATTTCAGCAGAGTCCTTATTTATCTGGACTTTATAATATCGATAACAGACTTCTCACTTATCAGCTATTGGTTTTATTCTTTATAGAATAAGCGTATCTCCAATGATACTTCTAACAAAAGATAAAAAAAAAAGATTAGAAGGAAAATCTTCCAAATGCTAATTTTGCTTCTTTTTTTCTTAGACTGCAAAAGAAAAAGAGAAAAGAAGAAAAGAAGAGGTGAATAATTGTGAGGAAAAAAAGTGGCAAAAAAAAAGAAGAGGTAACGATTAGTTTTGCCAGCAAATTGACCCATGAATCTTAAAGCTTTTACAGTGAAGATGAGAATCGGTTTAAAGAACATAAAAAAAGTTGGAAAAAAACAGTAAGAAGAACAAGAAAAAAACTTAAACTTTATAGGAAAAACAAAAGAAGTTAAATCTTTAAAAATTAATGAGCAAATATACTTTTAGTAATGCCAATTTTATAATTAAAAAGTTCAAAAAATGTTTTTTTTTTCCCCTCTGTTTGATTGACAAATTCAAAAATAGTTTTTTATAGTTTTTTTTTCTTTTGCTAAGAGTGAGTAAGAAGTAAAGAGAGAAGAGAAAAGAGAAAAGTCTAGAAAAAAAAACGGGTAGTATAAATAAAAATAGAAATAAAACAAGAGGAAAAAATTTGGAAGAATTAAAATAACAAATAAATATGCTAAACTAACAACAATTCTTACAGGTTTTTTTTTTTTTTT